ACTAGGGGCTCCTGGCCTTACTACTAGTAACCAGAAGTTATTAGGGGCTCCTGGCATCGGTACTAGGAGCAAGGACGCCACTAGGGGCTCCTGGCCTTACCACTAGTAACAAGAAGTTACTAGGCGCTCCTGGCATCGCTACTAGGAGCAAGGACGCTACTAGGGGCTCCTGGCCTTACTGCTAGTAACAAGAAGCTACTAGGGGCTCCTGGCATCGCTAATAGGAGCAAGGACGCTACTAGGGGCTCCTGGCCTTACTACTAGCGCTACTAGTAACAAGAAGTTACTAGGGGCTCCTGGCATCGCTACTAGAAGCAAGGACGCTACTAGGGGCTCCTGGCCTTACTACTAGTAACAAGAAGCTACTAGGGGCTCCTGGCATCGCTACTAGGAGCAAGGACGCTACTAGGGGCTCCTGGCCTTACTACTACTAACAAGAAGTTACTAGGGGCTCCTGGCATCGCTACTAGGAGCAAGGACGCTACTAGGGGCTCCTGGCCTTACTACTAGTCAAGAAGTTACTAGGGGCTCCTGGCATCGGTACTAGGAGCAAGGACGCTACTAGGGGCTCCTGGCCTTACTACTAGCAACAAGAAGTTATTAGGGGCTCCTGGCATCGGTACTAGGAGCAAGGACGCCACTAGGGGCTCCTGGCCTTACTACTAGTAACAAGAAGTTATTAGGGGCTCCTGGCATCGCTACTAGGAGCAAGGACGCTACTAGGGGCTCCTGGCCTTACCATTAGTAACAAGAAGCTACTAGGGGTTCCTGGCATTGCTTCTAGGAGCAAGGACGCTACTGGGGGCTCCTGGCCTTACCATTAGTAACAAGAAGCTACTAGGGGTTCCTGGCATTGCTTCTAGGAGCAAGGACGCTACTGGGGGCTCCTGGCCTTACCATTAGTAACAAGAAGATACTAGGGGTTCCTGGCACTGCTTCTAGGAGCAAGGACGCTACTAGGGGCTCCTGGCCTTACCATTAGTAACAAGAAGCTACTGTTCCTGACATTGCTTCTAGGAGCCAGGACGCTACTGGGGGCTCCTGGGCTTACTATTAGTAACAAGAAGCTACTAGGGGCTCCTGGCATCGCTACTAGGAGCAAGGACGCTACTAGGGGCTCCTGGCCTTACTACTAGTAACAAGAAGCTACTAGTGGCTTCTGGCATCGCTACTAGGAGCAAGGACGCTAGTAGGTTGGAGGCCATCGCTTGTAGGTTGGAGGCCAGCTCCGACCGGGACGATCTCGTGGGAGGGGCCGTCCTGGGATCTCTAGGTGGGAGGCAGAGTGGGTGGGTTCTTTGTCGACTTTGGCCGCAGCAATTTGGCATGTTTGATGTTGCGGGACACGAACCAGACACATTTCCGGTCGGTTTCTGGGTTTGGGTTTCATGTCATGTCGTGCTGAAGGGCTGCTGTATAGCTGCTGGGGCACAAGGGACACCTCTGGTAGGTTGGGGATTGATTGCCACGGATTGCCTATGTCTTAGTGACATGTTGTGGTGGAACTTGCAACAACATATCCGCGCCAAGATCCCCGACCGATCATGAGGCAGCTATAAAACATTATAAAACATTTCTCGTACCTCTCATCAATATATTGGACTTATTTGGACTGTATGATAATGTATGATACGTCGTCTTTCAATCTTGGTCCATCAAACGCACAAAGACACGTCCTGGCATGGCACTTGGTGATTTTTCAAGTGGAAGGGAAGGTCTTGCCGAGCAGGGCAGGGCCGGGCAGGGCCTACTTCAAAAGGTATCAAATTTATGCCTGTTCATATCTTTTCATAGTTGCACCGCACCTGCGGTCTATTGCGGATCGGATTTGCAAATGTGTCTTCTGTGGCAGCACGGTCAGATGTCCACACCGGCTTAAATGTATATCTGATATTATATGGAAATCGAACCGATGATACCGGTACCTGCATGTTCCAACTTCGCAGAATGTCTACCCTTTAGCTGGTTTTATGGGTTTTATGGATGAAAATGCTGAAATTATGTACAGTTACTTTTGGGACACACGAAGGCCCCCCTGGGTGACGAGCCAGAAGCTTCGACGAACCTCCCCCGAGGCTTCCGGCCGACCAAGGGCGAGGACTGGGCCGTGGCGCAGAACATGTCGTTGCCTGTTGCAAAAAGGAAAGCCGGGAAAAAAGTAAAACTGCATATGTTTTTTCTATAAGTGGGTGTTTCTTGTCATGTTTTAGTTTGCCTTTGGCTATATAAGGCATACACAAAAACCTTGGATGAAACTTTGCTGGGGAGTGAGAGAGAGGGTTACGATGCTACAAGACCCAGTGCTAGACGTGAAGTCGGGTTTATGCCTCAGGGCGATTCTACCCATCCAATCTGCTTCCTTCTTTCAATGTCTTTCAAATCACCTTAGGCCAAGCCACAACTGTCCGTTTTCCACACCTTCGCTTGTGGCACACACCGTGGTGCAGGATTGGCTCATCAGTTGGACAGGCCCTCGAATGCGGGACAATGTGCACCGGATGATGCACGAGTTTCAACGGGCGACCTGGCGGATGATCAAAGGGTGTAGCCCACTGGAGCCATCATCCACCGTTTCTGGCAATGGGATATACATGGATATACCATGATATACCCCTTTTGCATGTCATGTTTTCATACTCTAGACCGTCTTGGTAAGCATTTTTGTCTCGAGCAAGAGCTGTGGATTCTCCCATCGGCCAGTTGTCTTCAGACCAGAACTCACTGGTTGATGCGCTGATCCAAGGTGAACCACTTCCCCAACAGTACCGAGCTCACCAGGAGATTCTGTCTTTGACATCCAAGGGACGAGGGATGGGGCGGCTCGCGGACCCCAGGATCCGCTATCTATCAAAGTGACTTGCCAAAAACTGGGGCATCATGAGAATGTTCATGACTATTCAACCATTGACTTTGGCCATGTTAGAAAGCAATAGCCTCCGACCTTCTTCCGACCCGAAGCCATCGATCGGAGCCAAACGCACCAAAATTGCCTCCAGCCTACTAGCAAAAGGAACCTAACTAAGTGCAATGGCCTGCAACCTAGAAGCGGCCTCCAACCTACTAGCGATGGCGTCCAACCTACCAGCGATGGCCTCCAACCTGGACAGGAAGGATCGGATGTGGGAGAACTTCCAGAGGATGGCCCAGCAGCACCGCGAGCTGAACTTTGACTTCGTGCCCGAGACCTTTGTTCTGCCGCAACAGCTTCGGAGCTTCAAGCAGCGTTACCTGAAGACCAGGCCAAGGGGCGGACTTGGACTCGGGCAGAGCTGGGGTAGTTGGAGGTGAATGGGGAGGAAACAAGTCTTCCACGATCATGGTTGAAAGCGGGTGGACCACAGTGGGAGGAATCTCTTCTTATCTTAACAGTTTGTCCTGACAAACCAGTATCTACTTATTATCTTCTTATCTTAAGAAGTATCTATAGAGTGAAATCACCTATCATCTGGTGTCTACAGAGCTTTCAAGACATGAAGACCATTGGACCTCTTCTTGGAGGCTTGTTTTACCGCGTCGCGCACGTTGCGCCGCACGCTGCAGGAGCGAGCAGCTTTGGATCGTGAAGCCAACGGCCTCCTCCCAGGGCCGTGGGATTTTCATCCTTCGGAACCTCGTCGAGCTCCCCATGAAGGAATCCGCCACTGGGAGATGGAGAGACTGAGCCTTTTTTGGGTTCAGTGTGGGTGGGAAACACAAAAGAATGAAAGGTGTTCTTTTTGTAGAACCGGGGGCTCCTGGCAAGTGCAAGCCAGTTGAATTTTTCTTGCGGCAAAGTTCCGGAAGAAACGACCTAGGATGAGTATCGGAGGAAACCAGTGATGGACACCCAGTTGATGTGTTCGACTGTAGCCTCCAAAAAGTGCTAAGAGAGCCTGAGAGTTCCAGGTGGTTCCATTGGGTTCCCAGAACGTCTGTCGTCGCCTGTCGCGTCGCCTGTCGCCTCGCCTGTTGCGTCGCCTGTCATCCGGCGTCGCCTGTCGCTCCATCGCCATTGAGTGATGGTCACCGCTCACAGGAGCCAAAATCGCTTTGAGGTGGGCCTTTGTCCATACGGCGCCCGATGTCTTTAAGCATAGAAGAGCAAGGTATCCCTCAAGCATAGAAGCCTTCAAAACACCCCAAAGTGCTTCGGAATGCAATGAAGAAACTTGCGGTCATGTCCCTTGAAATGGCGGGATGGTCCAAATCAATCTCCCGAGGCAGCCCACCAAACCCTAAGGCCTAAGCCTAACAACCCTTGACTCTAGCCCTTAACCCTGGGCCTTAAACCTTTAACAGACCCAAGTCTCCTGGGCCAGAGGTCGTTGGTCCAACCGAGTTAAGGTGCCAGCATTCTCCAGAACTCCATCGGTGGAATCGGCACAGGGGGTGACTTTTGGAGGTAAAGCTTCTTCAATCCGTTTTGGTCATCGCATCGAATTCCAGATCGCCTCGCATCCCTGGTGTCAGCTCCTGCCATCGTTTCCCCTGCGCAGCCCGAAAGTCAGGTCGTGGTCTCACGCTACGTCGAAAAGCCCCTCCTAATTCAAGGCACGAATCGGGCGTCATGAAGCGGCAAGAGTTCCACACAAGGGAAGTCCCTTCCAAAGGCTCTTTCAAAATTGCAAAACTTCAAGAGGATACAACAGAGACACAAATTCAATATCTGGGACGTGTTCCTTGAATGTTCCTATACTAGGCAGGCGCATGTGTTCGTTTGGTAGTGCAACCCTCGCATAGCTTGAGCGTGAGATTTCTTGGCTTCACTTCGCTTCGGAACATACATGGCAACATATGGCAACCATTCACGCAGAGCACAATCAACCTGACAGGTTATGAAGAGGGAGAGCCAGAAACCTTGATCACCACTGACCAGTTCTGGACATGTTTAAGGAAGGAATAATCTTCTACTCACGTCCGATCCAACCAGCATCCATATTATACTTTTAGGAGCAAGGACGCTACTAGAGACCCTTCTTGGGGCCCGAGGGGTGTCAATTGGTGGACCTGGGTTGTCCCTTTAAAAGCACCGCAGGTCCAGTCCCACCAGTCCCTCATAGTCTGGTCTAGGAGGTCTCCGAGTACAGGTTAACTACTAGTAATGCCCTTGTTACTAGTAGCGATGCCCTGAAGACTAGTAGCTTCTTCTTCGTAGTAGTGATGCCAGGAGTTACTAGTAGCGTCCTTGCTCCAGTAAGGCCAGGAGCCCCTAGTAGAACACTTCGCCCTGCCAGGCTTAAAGTTTGATCTGCGAATTTATGTCATGGTGACCTCCTTCCGGCCGCTGCGTGCCTACGTCTACCGCGAGGGCTTGACCCGCTTCGCCTCCAAAGCCTACAGCACCGATGAGGTCGGGAAGAAGTCGGGGGATGAAAGGAGTCCGGCTGATTGTTACTAGTAGCTTCTTGTTACTACTAGTAAGGCACCTGTTACTAATAGCTTCTTGTTACTACTAGTAAGGCACTTGTTACTAGGATCCACATGAATATGCCGAATGAAAGATAATCATTCCAGATGTGTTCATTTGTGGGCAAGTCTCTCACAATCTATAATGAAAGATCTCTTGTAGGACTGGACTCATAATTTAAGTGTTGTTTGGCTCCTTCTTGACTTCTTGATGTGCCAAAGAAATGCTGCCCCTTGATTGGATCGTCATATCAGCTACAGAAGAACCTTCTGCAGGAGCACTTGGCAGATGTTTACCGACATTTGACCAACTACTCCATCAACAAGGGTGCCGAGAACTTCCAAGAGAATCAGCGAGTGCAAGCGGATAACTATGGCCATAAGTGGAGCCTTTCGGCACTCAATCGGCACCTCCGATGTATCGGCGTGAACGTGAAGGAGATGTGGAGTCGGATCATGGATATCATCGTGAAGACGCTGCTCGCAGTCGAGAGTCTTGGAGAACAAGTGCCAAGACTTGTTCGAAAGGGTCTGGGGATCGTTTTTTTCCATTGAAACAATGGAAAACGTTTATACCAAGGTATGTTTTCATAAAGGCACACCGTTTGCATCAAGTTCAAAAGCACATCAAGTTCGTCAGACATCAAAGGCTGCTGTGCGTAGGACCCGTCCTTTGATTGACCCCGAGATCCACATAATGACATACATTGACCTTTTGTATAACTTTCAATGGAACATTGGAAAGTGTTTGAAGGACTCAGTGATCAGGTGCGTTGTGAGAACGCACGAGGACCTTGGAATGTTTGTGGAACATTGTGGAACACTTGAGAGTGTTTGGAACCATGGGTACACCCTCGAAAAGTAACATGGAACCTGAAGACTACTGGGTTGTAGAGGAAAATTGTCTTCCAAAGCTCCATTTGCAGGTATGCGGTGTCGTCATGGGTTCAGCGAGTCATTCTTGCGGCGGTTGGAACACCTGTTGGCCGCTTCCTGTCACCATGCAGACTTGTGGTTATGTGTTTATACCCCATGAGTTGCCATGTTTTCAGGTATAGTCGGTAAATGGCAGCACAAAGATAGTGCTCCACCACCTATTTTCTTTCAGGGCTTACAAATGGCCTTACCGGACATACAGAAAACATTGAGACGGAGAATCTATCGATCTGTCCGAAGAGAGCTCACCAAGCCGAAGGGACCAGGTTTTCGAGGCGAGAGGCGATGATCCGAGGCCAGCGATCAGCGCGGCCACGAAAGAGAGCTGCTTACACGAACAGAGCTGTTTTGAGCTGTATGGCTTCGACATCCTGGTGGATGAGCACTTGAAACCTGACCCTATTGAAGTCCGAACAGGGGGGGAGGTGGATCGAATGAGAGATCGTCGCAAAAGCGCCCCTCGATGCTTCAAGGGAGTCGTTCGCCAATCCCAGGAAGCCATGGCTACTGGAGGCTGGCCGCTGGGGGCGGCGTGGGGTTTGACTCCAAACCACATCAATTTGAGATTCCTTCAAAGTCCAAGTTTGACTCAGTGTTCGCCTGTGATAATGAGTAATGATGGATTGTGACTCCCAGGTGGGGAGCCAAGCATGAGAAGCACCAGACAGCAATATAGATGTGGATCAAAACCACACGTTAATAGCAATGGCCTCCAGTGAAAGGCACGTTATGGCACGGTGATACTGGAGGAAGAATATGTTTTACAGTTTTTAACATTCATTGATTCGTCCCCCTCTTGACTGGTTCTGCTCGATATGCAACTCCTTTGAGCCAGATTCCTGAGCTCGAGCCAGGTGAACCTCAGTCCAAGTATGCAGGCTGGAATGGGAGGGTCACAAATTGCCTGCTACATGTTGACATGTTGTGACTCTCTATTTCTCTTTCAGCTACCAGTAACAAGAAGCTACTAGGGGCTCCTGGCATCGCTACTAGGAGCAAGGATGCTACTAGGGGCTCCTGGCCGAAGCTACTAGGGGCTACCTTTTGGGACCCTTTTGGGACCCGTGATGACTTCGGACCCACCTGGCCCCAGTGAGGCGGAGAGCCCGCTGGACAAGCAGATCAAGAGTAGCTTGTTATCGGATGCTCGGCCGTCAAAAAGACAGAATTCTTCGATCGCCCAGGGCAGCGGCAGAAAGACTATCAAAGTGTTCACGTTCATTGTGCCTTAAACAGCTGGCATCCAAATGAAAACACGCATGTGTCTTTTTGTCCGCCCTTTTTGCCATGTCCAGACCGGTTCATTGCACGTTGGACCGTTGAGGATGCCTTCAACCTCCTTGGCGTGAAACGTCTGGATGCACAGACCTTGACCTCTGCCCGCTTGAGGGCCCGCTTCCTGCATCTTTCATCGCATTTGGGTGAGGTTGATCAGGGTTGATCGGTGTTTCTAGGCCGTCAGAGGCGTAGACATGACACACATGACTCATATATGACTCCATACACACGTCACTGCTTTGGAAAGTCACTGGGTTTCATGACGTGAGTGCATGTGAGTGCATGGTACGTGCCACTTCCTCCGGGTGATACTTCGAGAAAGAGCAATGCCTTCATTGGGTTTCCTTTCGATCGAGTGAGGTACATGAGCAAGTTGCAAAGCCAGATGCCTGGAAAGAGAAGTGCAGATAAGGTTTTGCCCGTTACGTTTCACTAGTAGGTTGGAGGCCATCGCCTATATATATTAGGATGGAGACCATTGCTATTTCATTGCCCGTTACGTTTCGTTGTGTTCTCTTTTGTCCAAACAGGTGAAAGACCTGTGCCGGTTTAGATGCAGATAGGGTGCATGGGACCCTCAAATTGTCATATACACAGAGGTGACTTCAACGGTAACTGCTATGCAACCTTTGCCCCTCCACTTGTTGGAACCCTCCAATTGTGGGAACGCTTTTTCATGCATTTTCTATCTTGTTCTGTCTTGCCTCAGCAAGCTGGGTAAGTTGCCACTTCAGCAAGGCGTTGTTTGCCACGAACCAAGATGCGAACAAACTTGAGAAAAAAAGCCGGCAAGCTCGCGGAAGCCGCAAGCTGGTCACGTGAGGATGCCGAAGAGCAAAGACTCGAAGTTGCTGGGCCATCGACAGGATCCCCTACGCCCGGAGGAGCCCCGACTGGAGAAGACCGAGGAGCCCTCCGTCGCCGAAGGCAGCTCAGACAGGTCGAAGAAGTGATGACAGGGTCTTCTCATGATTCAGGCAGAAGTTCATGAGACAGATGCATCATGCATCCGAAGCATCTTCACCTAAAGACCAGTGGCCTTATTAGGCCTTTAGCCCGATCTATACGTCCTGTTAGGCCACCGTGTGGGGAGAGAAACTTGTGTTGAAAATGCATCGGTCCAGCGGACATCCAGGTGACGCGGAGGGGGAACCTCAGCCGTGCCTTGGCGGAAGCGAGCAAAGGTCGAATCGCTTCAGAAGGGAGGCAGGTCGTGCGCTCAGCGGTTTCAGAGTAAATGGCCTCCATCCTAACTTGTGGATTGTGCCATCTACTCTCCATCTACTTTGCTGTTTGCATCTGTTTGCTATCCTTTTTATCAGGAGAGTATAGCCGACATCGCCGTTCGGTGCGTTTCTTCAAGCACTCAGTGTTGCCCAGAAGCGGCGGCGTGCCCGAGTTGTCCTGCCCCCCATAGGCCCTCATATAGTCTACGCTTACCTTGGGTGAACCGGCTTAGTTCCCTTCTACGTAGAACCTTCGCAACAGCCATCCAAGAAGGATCTCTACCTATCTCTACAGCGCCTGTCCGACATTTCGGCCGGAGGAAGGACCGGAAGGAGCGATTTCAGCTGTTTGACCGTCGGTCCGACCGTCGGCCGTGTGTCGAGCCCAGGCTGGTGCGAAAGTACTTCAGTCCAAAGAAGCAGGCACCCAGTTGGGCGGCGGTCTTTGGAAGAAAGTCGCCCCTGAGGTGAAAGCGCTCAACGGTCACTCTTTTGGAAACATAAACCGACTTCTTAAATAAATAGAGAGAGAGAGAGAGAGTGGGTGTGTTTTTTTAGTTTTCTCATGTGTATCTCTCGTGTGTTGTTTTGTCTCTTTGTGGTTGGACCATTCTTCCATCTTGTTCCTTTGTTTGTGTTTGTTTCTTTGTTTGTTTTCTTTTGTTGCATAACAATGGTTTGTTATTGTTGCTTTCTTGGGTGGTTTTGTTCTTTGTCGTTGTTGGTGAATCAAGAGGAAGGCAGAACTCTGGTAATTTGACGGCCCCGGGCGGCTTCCCCGGATGCGTTGGACGTGAAAAGAAGGTCGTAGCGACTACGACTCAAGAGAACGTTCTTGTTCAAAGTCGTGTTTCTGGCTACGCTTTTGACCTGGCCAAAACACGGCAATCCGAGATTCAGACCCATGAGTTGGGCCCGATGAATGCTGTTTGCCCCAACGAGACCTCTATTGGGCGTGATTCAAGGAGACCTATTCATGGCCTTTGGATATGAACTTGACAACAAAAACGAGGTACCTTGAACCGCTGATCACAAGATTGAACCAACGGCTCCTCACAGTGGATCCTCCTCCAGTCACGGGCGCCTTGCTCGCCTCTTGGGCTAGGGGGTGTCACCTGCTTTGCTCCTGCCGGAGGTCTCCCTCAGCACCTTGTGCGAGCCACATTTGCGGCTTTTAGTGTATGCCCTCGAGGAGACCCAGCGCTGCTGCCTCTCGGCTCAGTGCAGTGCTGCAAAGCAATGGAAGGTGAGGTGAGTTGGTGATTCAGCTGGGTTTGGAAGCCATGGTCGAACCAGTTGAATCATGTTGAATCTGTTGGTTGAGGTAAGTGAGGGGTGTCTCAGACTGTGCCAAACGACACCCATTTTGAGCGATAGGGAGTGGAACAACCTGGTTTTTCGATCAGTCTTTTTGTAGGCCAGTTGCCCTCGACTCTTGGGCAGAGGATGGCAGAGGTATTATTGAGAAGAAACAGCTTATTTGGCGTAATTATCTCTCGAATTGGCTGTTTGAGGCTTCTAGCATGAACAGAATACAGAAAATCCTTGACCTGAGGACACTCTCAGGATCTCATACTTTCGCGGGTCGTTTTCGGTTCAGGCGAACCTTTGGCCTGATTGTGAATCTGTTGAGATGCACCCTTTGGGACACCTCATATGTAGACTCTAGACTCTTGATGAACACACCCCTTCAGACATGGATTGTACAACCTATGGGGAGTTTTATAAAATTAAGAATTAAGAGTCTACAAGGGCCCCTTTGGTGTCCAATCGAATGGCCCCTGGTGTCCAGTACCGCCGTGACACAGAAAAAGTGTTTTTTCCCGAATGCGTAGCGAAGGGTTCTCGTTTAACTCTGGGGGTCTGGGGGTAGAGTCTTGTTCGCGACCCGTGGTTTGTATGTTCGCAACCGTCCGCAACCGTTCGCAACCGTCTGCAACCGTCCGCAACCGACCGCAAGTGCTTGCAACCGTTGGCAGTAGAACGCTAAGGCGCTGCCATTGGGGGAAGCTTTTGCAAGTGACTTTTCATGGATGTGTCACGTGTCAGTTTGCGCCCCTATTCCATTGTGATTCGCATGACAATGACATGTCGCGCAAGAAACGTGACGCATTTCGCTGCTGCACAGGCGCAGGTGTTTGTGAGATCCGCAGTTTGCTGCGCAGTTCCATTGGGATTAGCGTCAGGAGAGGCACGGCTTTGGGGTGTTGGATGTGGCTGTGCCATTGGGATTTGCGTTTCAGGGTATGGCATCGAAGCTCTGTTTTCGTGACAAGTCTCAGGTGAAGTGGCGATTTTGGTGGATGGGAGTGTGCTCAGCACGGGTCGAAATCATTCCAAACGTGTGGTGTGGTGCACATTTTGTTGAAGCTCACATGAGATGATATTGTCACTTTTCGTGGCAGGCACAGCACTTTGTGAACCTCCATGTGCAGATTTTGTGGCAGGCACAGCACTTTGTGAACCTCCATGTGCAGATTTCGTGGCAGGCACAGCACTTTGTGAACCTCCATGTGCAGATTTCGTGGCAGGCACACCACTTTGTGAACCTCCATGCGCCGATTTCGTGGCAGGCGCAGCACTTTGTGAACCTCCATGTGCAGATTTCGTGGCCGGCGCAGCACTTTGTGAACTTCCTTTATCCCACGAGTTTCCTACAAGAGTGTCCCACAAGAGTGTCCCGCAAGTCCCACAAGAGTGTCTCACAAGAGTGTCCCTTGAGAGTGTCCTACAAGAGTGTCCCATAAGAGTGACCCACAAGAGTGTCCTATAAGAGTGTCCCACAAGAAGTGTCCTACAAACCGCAAGAGTGTCCTACAAGAGTGTCCCACAAGAGTGTCCCACAAGAGTTTCCTACAAGAGTGTCCGACAAGACTGTCCCACAAGTGTGTCCCGCAAGAGTGTCCTACAAGAGTGTCCTACAAGAGTGTCCCGCAATAGTGTCCCACAAGAGTGTCCGGCAAGTGACCCACAAGAGTTTCCTACAAGAGTGTCTCACAAGAGTGTCCCACAAGAGAGTGTCCCATGAGAGTGACCTGCAAGAGTGTCCTTTAAGAGTGTCCCACAAAGAGTGTCCTACAAAAGTGCCCCGCAAGAGTTTCCTACAAGAGTGACCCACAAGAGTGTCCCACAAGAGTGTCCCACAAGAGTGTCCCACAAGAGTGTCCTACAAGAGTGACTCACAAGAGTTTCCGACAAGAGTGTCCCAGAAGAGTGTCCCACAAGAGTGTCCTACAAGAGTGTCTCACAAGAGTGTCCTACAAGAGTGTCCGACAAGAGTGTCCCATAAGAGTGACCCACAAGAGAGTCCTATAAGAGTGTCCCACAAGAGTGCCCCACAAGAGTGTCCCGTAAGAGTGTCCCACAAGAGTGTCCTGTAAGAGTGTTCCACAAGAGTTTCCTACAAGAGTGACCCACAAGAGTGTCCTACAAGAGTGTCCTACAAGAGTGTCCCACAAGAGTGTCCCACAAGAGTGTCCTATAAGAGTGTCCCACAAGAGTGTCCTACAAGAGTGTCCCACAAGAGTTTCCTGCAAGAGTGTCACACAAGAGTGTCCCACAAGGGAGTGCCCCATAAGAGTGACCTGCAAGAGTGTCCTTTAAGAGTGTCCCACAAGAGTGTCTACAAAAGTGCCCCGTAAGAGTGAACCACAAGAGTTTCCTACAAGAGTGTCCCACAAGAGTGTCCCACAAGAGTGTCCCAGAGTGTCCCACAAAAGTGTCCTACAAGAGCGTCATTTGGGCATATGGAACGTGTTTGCATTCGGGTTCGTGGGTTCCATCTTGTTTTTTGCACGGTAACTTGATCCATCCAAGGCAACTTCATCCGGCTTTATCCAACTCCATCAACGGTGAAGCGCTATCAGCCCCTCACGGAGAGCCGCAGCATGGAGGCGGGGCGAACGACGGAGACGCACGCGTCGGAGGAGGACAGTAGCAGGTTTCGGGTCATCGAAAGGTACCACGGAGCAGAAAGAAGAGGAACCTGGAGTCTCCTTTGGTATGCCAAAACAGTGTACACTTTGCCACTTTGGTATTATAGTGGTACTTAATATTGGATTTGGTACACAATTGTTAACAATTCTCATCTTCGGAAAGTAGCTGGTCTTTGTAGCTTCGATGGTTCTCTTCAGGGGACTGTCAGTGATGTGAATGACCAGAACGCCCGGTCGTGTTCGCCCCGGCTGGACCGATCCTCGGGTATGTTCCGCTTCCCGAAGCTCTCCATTCATCGCTCTTAGGTTGGAGACCATCGCTAGTAGGAGCAACAATGCTACTAGGGGCTCCTGGCCTTACTACTAGGAACAAGAAGCTAGTAGGGGCTCCTGGCATCGCTTCTAGGAGCAAGGACGCTACTGGGGGCTCTTGGCTTTCCTACTAGGAACAAGAAGCTACTAGGGGCTCCTGGCATCGCTACTGGGAGCAATGACGCTATGGGGGCTGCGGCCTTACTACTAGGAACAAGAAGCTACTAGGGGTTCCTGGCATCGCTACTAGGAGCAAGGACGCTACTGGGGGCTCCTGGC